CTGTATCATGGAGTCTGACGTATAGTAATTTTTTTTTGGTGTGCCTTATTTTGTTTTAATTATTAAAAAAAGTTTAATATTTTATTTTCCCCAGTTATGTGTAAAAAATTAACATTTATTTTTAAAACTTTGACTTCCAAATTCTCTCCCTTTCTCTCTTCCCACACCCCCATCACTGAGAAAGCTAGCAATAGGTTATACATGTGTAGTCATGCAAAACATTTCCATATTAGTCATATTGTGAAAGAAAACATAGACTCCCCCAAAAAAATCTTCAAGAAAAATAAAGTTTTAAAAAGTATGCTGCAATCTGTATTTAGACACTATCAGTTCTTTCTCTAGGGATGGACAGCATTTTCATGTCCTTCATATCCTTTCAAGTCCTTCAGAGTTGTCTTGGACCATTGTGTTGCTGAGAAAAGCCAAGTCATTCACAGCTGATCATCTTACCATATTGCTGTTACTTTGTAGATAGTATATTTCACTTTGCATCAGCTCATATAAGTCTTTTCAGGTTTTTTTTTCCCGAGAGCACCCTGCTCATCATTTCTTATAGCACAATAGTATTCCAACATATCACATAGCACAATTTGCTCATTCATTCCCCAATTGATGCATTCTTCAATTTCTAATTCTTTGTCCCCAGAAAAGAGCTGCTATAAATATTTTATACATATTTTTCTTTTTATCCATACTCTTCCTTTTTTTTTGAAAATCTCTTTTGGGATACAGATCTAGTAGTGGTATTGCTAGATCAAAGGGTATACATGGTTTTATAGTCCTTTGGGCATAGTTCTAAATTGCTCTAGGGAAGGGTTGAATCAGCCCCCAACTCCACCAACAATGCATTAATGTCTCATTTTTTCCACATCCCGACATTTGTCATTTTCCTTTTCTGTCCTTTTAGCCAATCTAATAAGTATGAGGTAGTACCTTAGAATTATTTTAATTTCTCCAAGCAATAGTGAATTAGAGTATTTCTTCATATGGCTATAGATAGCTTTGATTACTTCATCTGAAAACTTACCTTTTGACCATTTATCAATGGGGAATGGCTCTTTTTTAAAATTAATTTATTTTTAATTATCAAAATCACTTCCATAAGCTTTTGAGTTTAAAATTTTTCTCCCCTTCCCTCCCCAACACGTCGTGCAATCTGATATAGGCTACACATATAAATTCCTATTAAATATTTTCACATTAGTGATGTTGTAAGTAAGAATTAGAGCCAATAGGAGGAATCGCCAGAAAGAGGAAACAAAACATAACAGAAAAAAAAATAGCAAATGGTACGCTTCGATCTTCGTTCTGTGTGGTACGGCGACTCTAACACAATTAAACTCAGAGACTTATCAAGGAAGCAAAAATTACTCTTTCTTACAATCTTGGAAGAAGGGGCATCTACTCCTCCAGTACACTACCAGCAGGAGAGAGGCGAGGCACAAAGGACAAAGCAAGGTTATATATCTTAACTCAAACAAGAAACTCCCACCCCGCCACTATCCCTTACTCCCATTGGCTGGGAGGCGGGCTTACATTCTAGGCCCGAAATCTTTCCCGTTCCCAAAGAACAAGGACACAGGGTATAGCCAATCCAAACATACATGTCCTTATTTAGTATACCTAATGCTGAGGTGGCAGTGGCAATCAGGAGAGGGTTTAGAGCCGAATTAAATTTATAGCCTGTTCGTTCTCTCAGAGCCTATCTCTAATTTCGAGACAGTCTTTTCATCACCACCCTGAGAAGTCTTCACAAAGATTATATCTCATTCAGTTCAAACTCCATAGTTCTTTCTTTGGATGTGGTTAGCATTTTCCATCATGAGGCCTTTGGGGATGTCTTAGATCCTTGTATTGCTGAGAAGGGTTAAGTCATTATCAATATTAGTCATCGTACAACGTGGCTGTTACTGTGTGAAATGTTCTCCTGGTTCTGCTCATTTCACTCAGCATCTGACCATACAAGTCTTTCCAGGTTTTTCTGAAGTCAGCCTGTTCATCATTTCTTATAGCACAATAGTATTCCATTACATTCATGTACCACAACTTGTTCAGCTATTCCCCAATTGATGGGCATCCTCTCAATTTCCAATTCTTTGCCACTACAAAAAGAGCTGCTATAAATATTTTTGTACCTGTGGGTCTTTTTCCCATTTGTATGATCTCTTTGGGATACAGCTCTAGAAGTGCTATGGCTGGGTCAAAGGGTATGCACATTTTTATAGCCCTTTGGGCATAGTTCCAAATTACTCTCCAAATGACATATAGTTATTTAACGTTTGCAAAACTGGTTTACACCCATCTCATCTGAGCTTCACAACCTACAGGTATTAGTTTACCCATTTTACAGATGAGGCCCAGTCAGTAAGGCTAACTTGCTATGGGTGAAATAGCCATTAAGGGTCAGAAGAGAAATTTGAACTAAGGTCTTTGGATTCCAAGTTTTAGCACTCCCCCACCCCACCCTTCCCCATGGAGCCTACATCTGCATCTGTGATTTCTATCTATTTGATGAGGATAGGATCTAGACCCCCAAAAAGGAAAAACCCTGGACTTCCTCCCCATGGCCAAATATCTGTTGGTCCCCTGAGGCTATAATTCCTCAACTAGCCTTTCACTCTGGCTACACCCAATCTCTGTTACCCTTAACCCAGACAGGCCCTCCATTGTTTTGCCTCCCTATGGCCCCTGGCCATTTCCCACCCTTAATCCTAGCTGGGCTCCATTCTCCCTTGGCCATGTGTTCCAGGTCCCAGGAGTTCTGTTCTCCCCAGCCTACTGGCCACTCCCATCCAGAGTCTCCTTAGACCCCCTCCTCCAGTCACCCATACTACTTGGCCACTCCTAGATCCCTCCCACAATCTTTCCGTGTATAAGGTCCATCTTGGCTCCATTTATGGTGCTCTGATTCTTATCATCTAGCCAATAGCTCACAGGTGTTCAGATTCTTTAATAGTCTTGCCAATATGGTGGATCTTTAATAAATCTTGTCTTTAGCTGAAAGAAGGCTTGGGTCGAATTCTTTTGGGCAGGACCCACCTGTCCTAATTTTATGCAGCACAGGGCCCCACCCCCCCCAGCCCCGGGCTAAGAGGCGCCCAGGACAGTCGCACGCACGCGCCCCGCTTCCCGACGCCGCCCCACAGCTTTGCCGGGCTCCAGGAGCAGGGAGGCCCCGCGCTCTTCCACGTCTCCCTCTCTCCCGCCCGCAGGCGGAGCCCTCACTCCCGCCGTTCCCGCCTCCTTCCCACCCCCCTCCGCGCCCCAGCAGGGCCCTCGCTCTTTTTTCCCCCTCAGCTTATCCTTATCCCGTGGTTCCTTCTCAGATCCCCGGTCCCTCCACCACAGGTGTTCTCTTTCCTCCCCCTTTTCCGGTTCTTCTCCCACCCGCTCCCTGAACACAGCTGTTCCGACTGCTGCCTTCCCGCCTGCCCCCGCCGCCGGGTAGCGCGGCTGTTCCGTCGGCTGCCTCTCCTCCCCCCGCCCCCTCCCTCCGAGCCGGGAGCCGTCCCCCAACATCCGGGTACCGGCACTAGCCGCCCAGACTCTGGCACTATGGTCATGGCGGAGGGGACTGCAGTGCTGAGGAGGAACAGGCCCGGCACGAAGGCTCAGGTACCATCCCGGGGCTCTTCGGGGCCGGGGAGCTCCTCTGGGCCGGGCGGGACGCCGGGCTGACAGTCCTGGGAAGGGGATTGCGGCGCGCCCCCGGGCGGTGCCTTGATAGAGGGCGGGCGGGCCGGGCCGGGCAAGCCGACCCAAGGGACTGCTGTCCGGCCTACTGCTTCCGCAGCCGCCGGCCTCTCCTCCGGCGGCGGCCAGTCCCGGGCGACTCCGGAAGGGAGGCCGCAGAGGGTCTGGATGGGGCTGGGGGGCGAGCCCGGCCTCGGAGAAGGGGCTTCGGGGGTCTGTCAGGAGACTGTCAGGAGCAGCTGTTGGCGGTCCCGGCCCCCCTCCCAACCCCCCCAGGACCCGGAGGACCCCCTGATAGTGGGGGGGGGGCCGTGTGTGCGCGTGTAAACACTAGCGTTGTCCTTCTCAGGCCCCCTTCCCTTCCCCCCTTTTCCAACTCCAACCCAGCCTGGGGTGACCAGCTTTTTGGGGTGACCCTGGGATCCACCTAGATCTTGGTCTGTCCGTCTGTGCCTGTCTGCCTTTGACAAGTTCACGGTGATGTCCTTGTGCGCTTTTCTGGTCCAGCAAGTTTTTCTTCCATAGGCTGTGACTTGTTAGAAGGCAGTGTCAGCTCTTTTCTGGGTTAGCCCTTCCGCAGGTTATGGGAATGACCTGTCTCTAATTTTGCTAACTTCAAATAGAGCACTATATTGGGGTGAATCTCAGTTTTTTAATTTATATATTTTCTTTTGAAGTTTGGAGAGGTGCTGCATTAAAAAAAAAATAACCAAGTGGTTCCTAGACTGTCAACTAGGCTACCCCATATAACTTCTAAGCTTTACACTAGATAGAGGGAATCTATTTATAGTCATATACGTGTTTATAAGTAACTATTTCAATATAACTGGTTTCCTTTATAATTCTATAAAACATCATTTTGAGAACGTCCATAGGCTTCAACAGAAAGCCAAAGGGATCTAAGTCCCCCCCAAAAACTAAAGAGCCCCCCAGCTCTAGAATACTTTTTAAAGAAATTAGAAGAAATGTCATTAAGATAGTGGAAATAAAAAATTTACAGAAGAATGAAATGTGTTGCTAACATTGTATTGTGCCACCTCCAGCACTTACCTGAATACAGGATACTTAACCTGTTTAATGACTGTTACTGGTGGTTTTCCGGGTAGTTTTATAGTTATCTTCCTGAGTTAGTAACAGATTCAAACGTTTTTCTTTTGTTTTGTGAACTTTTTGCTGTGTAAGTGTAGTTTTGTCAACTATTTTTTATTTTTCCGTGGGAGTGTTACTACTGGTTCCGCATTATCTTTGTTAATTTACGAATTTTGACAATTTTTTTCTATCTTGATGTTTTGTACTCACCTCATTGATGTCTTCTCATTTGTTTAGGTGACACTTTTTGATTGTTCAGAAAATGTTGTCATCTTAATAATATGGTAACATCTAATGTGTATTATTCATATTTATGTGAGAAAGGATATATTAATTAGAAACTTATGAAGAATTGTAGTGTTTTACCCACATAAAAGACACTGTTATAGACCTATGTTGTAAAATAAAAAGTAACAATCCAAAAAAGTCTGACATAAAAATGGCTATGTAAGCATTTGTCATTTCCAGCCTGATCTGTCAGACATGAGACAGATGAATTTTCTTCTGTGAAAATTGATCCTTCTCCGAATTCCTGATTTATATGACAAAACTAAAGGAATGGGATATCTCTGCTCTTATTTCCACCTATTTTTGTTTTGAGAAAGTTAGGTGTAATGATTGGAATGATAGAAACTTCATTAATCTTGATTCTGGATATGCTTCATAATGAATATAGTGAACCTGAATAATATTTAAAATTAGCATTCTTTTGTGCCACATTATATAGTCTGTAAATTCTAAAGATTGTTATTTTTGTCAGATAAATCACCTTTTAAGCATACAGCTTTCTTAATATTTTGAAGGAAAAAAGCGAATTAAAATTACTTTGTATTTATTCTACATACATTTTGTATTGACCAATTTGTGTGCATGTTCTTTCCCTGAAATAGTATATAAGTTTTTTTTAGAACAAGAAAGGTTTCATTTTGGGCTTTTTCATTCCCAATGTCTACTGAGTATTTTGTATGTAGTAGGTGATTAACAAATAATGAGTGAATGAATGTTTTGTTCTGTCCTACATTGGAAGAATTATTTCAACACACCTTTTTGTATTTCACTTTAGTGATTTCCAGGAGATGATTATTAGGTTCAAAATTACCATAAGGTGATGTGTTGTCTTTATTTCCTGCCACTTCCCCTAATTATTAAAGAAACTATTAATATTAAATTAGATCCATTTGAGTATCAGAGTAAGTTTCATTACAGTTAGATGATCATTGCATTTTAATGGAGTTGGTTGTTTGCTTAAAAATTGGAATAATACCATCTTATCAGATCCTTCTACTTTGTATTTGTATAGCAATAAATTTACCTATTAACTAGGTAGCTTTGATCAGGGAAAACCAACATGCTCAGTTAACTGTATTTGTATTTGATTTGAATGGTCATACAAGTACTGGTCTCTGGAAATATTTTCAAGATAACTGCTTGAAGTGGTAAGCTTATATAGTATTAAATATTTTATTTTAACCTATTAATTCAGTAAAATTTTTCTTCCAGTTTGTGTTTAGGAATTTGGGAAGAAAGAATATAATTTGCTTTAAGATAAAACAAAAATCTTCATGTTTATCCAAAAGCATTGTATAAAATTCTTAAAATTGTTTTTCTAATTTCCATATTATAGAGTCTTCCCCCCCCCCATAGTGTGATAGATGTTGAAATATAAGGAAGTTGAAATGACTTTCTTTAATTTTTGTTTTTTCATAGGATTTCTATAATTGGCCTGATGAATCCTTTGATGAAATGGACAGCACATTAGCTGTTCAGCAGGTAGGAGGTATTTTCTTCCAGGACACTAACAACTTTGTGACCTACAAACCTGTCTATTCAGATGTGTATCACATCTTTCTTTAAAATTATTATTATAAACTTAGTAACAGGAGAAACAACTGAACCTGTTATTTTATTGGCATAGGGAACTCTCAGATGAGGAAACTCCCTTTACCAGTAGTAATTGTATCAAAAAATAGAAAATAAACAATGGAATAAATATGAAATAAATCTTCAAATAAAATGATAAAAATAAAACTATTAACATTTTGATTGGAAAATAGTTATGTACATTTTAACCGAATTATGCTAATTTTTATTCTGTGTCCTTTTCTGAATCTGTATATGAATATAATATGTTTTGCTGTTTGGTTTTCGAGCTCTTAACTTATGGTTGTTGTTAATGTAGGTCTTATGCTAACTTCATGTTGTATCATTTTACATGTCTTTCCATATTTCTTTATATTCATAGCAATTTTTTATAGCACAATAATACTCCATTACATTAAAATTCTATAATTTGTACATCAGTTTTCCAACCATTGGACATAGAGATTTCCAGTTTTTTGGTTTTGGGTTTGTTTGTTGGTTGTGACAAAGAAGCTATGGATATTTTTATATAGATAAATATTCTTTTTCATTTTGATAACATCTATAGACTGTAATCGCAGAAATGGAATCATTAGGTCAGAGGGTTTGGTCATTTTTGTTATTGTGTGCTTCCAGAAACTCCAAAAAATTTTCATTAATCTGTAGTTCCCCCAACAATGTAATTTGTTAATTTAGAGTCCTACTAACCTCGAAATTTGCCAGTTTTGGCTATTTTAATTACATTGGTTGTGAAATCCTATCTTAAAGTTGTTTTTCTTGGTATTTTTCTCTTTTTAAAATTACAAACTTAAATACAAATACACAAAAACAAAAAATTATGTATTACACTGTAGATTTCTGTTATTTACAGTGTTTAAAATGTTATTAAAAAGTAACAAAATCATCCTATTTTTTCTATATCCCCTCTGAACTTTTTTTTTTGTTGTCTATTTTTCCAGATTAATTAGCATTTCACAAATTAGTGTAACTGTTATGGAAGGTATACTCATTTTAAACTTTTGTTAGCCACTGTTTTGTTTCAGGATGTCAAACTGAACCATGAATCAGTCAATCCATCAAAAAACATTTATTAAGCACCTACTATGTGCCAGGCATTGTTCTAAATGCTGAGGATACAAAGAAAGGTAAAAGACAGTCCCTACCCTTGAAGAGCTCATATCTATTGGAGACATCATGAAAATAACAAAAATAACAACATGAAAATAAAAGTAATAAATTAGATAAAAATTATATGATAACTATTAGGAGTATCCAAAATTTGGCTAAAATTGCTCAGTCCTTTTTTTGGGGGTGGGGTGGATAGGCAATGGGGATTAAGTGACTTGCACAGGGTCACCCAGCTAAAAATTGCTCAGTCTTAAAGTGATTTGCCCGGGGTCTCCGAGTTGCCTATGGGGTCTACCACACTGCCAAACACACTTGGTGGCTCAATAAATTCAGTAAGTGTTTATTGGTTTAATGGGACATAAATACATAGCTATTGAGCAGGACAACTCATTAATAACCACTCCTTTCCTATACTCTTAATATGAGTTTCTAGTAACATAACACATGCAGTTAAAGTAGGAACTATTATACATACTAAGGTATAGATTTTAAATAGTTATGTCATGCACTGGGTGTATAAATGCATTAGAATTTATTTACATTTTGTTTGAGCTTTCATCATTGAGCCCTTTTTTTTTTTTTTTTTTAGTGAGGCAATTGGGGTTAAGTGACTTGCCCAAGATCACACAGCTAGTACATGTCAAGTGTTTGGTCTGAGGCCGGATTTGAACTCGGGTCCTCCTGACTTCAGGGCAGGTGCTCTATCCACTGTACCACCTAGCTGCCCCCCCCCTTTTTTTTTCTTTTTTAGGCAATTGGGGTTAAGTGACTTGCCCAGGGTCACACAGCTAGTAAGTGTCAAGTGTTTGGTCTGAGGTCAGATTTGAACTTAGGTCCTCCTGACTTCAGGACCGGTGCTCTATCCACTGCACCACCTACCTGCTCCCATCATTGAGCCCTTGTTAAAAAAGTTTTATTTTCCTATGTAACTATATGATGATTCTTCCATAACCTGTAGAATATATGTTTTGATTAAAATCTATCTGCATACATGTAAAAATGACTATATACTACTTAGCTAATTCCCAGAGCTTTTTTTGGTTACAACAACAAAAACAATAATAGTAACAGCTAGCCTTGATGTAACAAAGTGCTTTATGGACGCTAATTTTATCCTCACAACAACATTTTGTCGCCATAACAACCCTGAGAGGTAGGTGCTAAGTATTTCCGTTTTACAGATGAGGAAATTGAGGCAGACAGCCTTTAGGTGATGGCCCAGGAACACAAAGCCAATAAATGTCTGAAGTTGGATTTGAACCCAGGTCTTCCTAACTCTAGAACCAGTACTCTAGCCACTGTGCCAGCTAGCTGCCTCAGTTTATAAAAGAAAAATGAAAATATAGTAAGGATTTCTGTGTACTCAATTGGTTATGAATTTCTGGGGAAGTCCATTAAAGATTTGACTTAGAATTGAGCCAAGCTTCTAGAAGCAAAAATTCTATGATCTAGAGATCTCTACTCAAGAGGAGGGTACTCCTTCTGTTCTTCACATTTATGTCCTATGGTCAGAAAGCTGCTTGATTTTATTGACTTAATTGAAGCTTCTGGTATAGAAAGTACAATTATAGTTCATTGTTTGTGTGTATAACACCCGCTCCATTCATGGCTGCTATTGTTGTTGAGAACCTTTAACTTGGATAACTCAGGGGTTCTTTACCTGTGGTCCATGAATTTTTTTTTTTTTTTGTTTTAGTATTTTGGTAACTATTTCACTATAGTTGGTTTCTTGTGCAGTCTTTCCTATTTTACCTTATTCATTTAAAAAATCCTGAGATGTCCATAGTCTTCACACATTGCCATAGGAAGGTGTCTGTGACACACAAAAGTTTGTAAAGTATTTTTAGAAAGATAAATAAGGTTCAGCTTATTCCTACTTGGCCTTGTATCACCCCTGATTTGTAAAAAACTATGTAATAGAAATATTTTTTTAATGTAATATTATCAACAGTCTTAAATCATTATAGTTTCTACACAGATAACAAATAATACAATGTGAAACTAGAATTCAAGAGCAAGGTGCATCTTTATCTCTGGGAGGCCTGCTGTTTTCATAATAGAAAATAGGATGATTCAAAGTAGCCCCATATTATAGATTTCTGCAAAATTAATGCTTTTATTAAGATATAGGAAGTATTTTTGGCACCAGCAAACTTATGCATCCAATGTTCAAAGGCAAAAATGTTAGTGGTAATATCACTACTACTGCATTTGACAAGATCACAAAACAAATAGCATACTTAGAACTATAAATATTAAAAAATACAGAACATCTTTAGGGATTTGGACAGATATTCCATTTGGGATTCTTCCAAGTATATATCTTCTTCAACATGGAAGTAAGGCACTTGGGTAGCAAGGCTTTGATTCTTTAATTTTTTTTCCCCTTGCTTCAGCTCCCTCCATCTTTAGGAGCATTGGAAGGAAACTGGTCTGTGTTTAGAAATGAACCAAATCAAGAAATAAATTTAGGTGAAAGAGTAGAGGATTTTTTTCTACTTTGGGCAATCTTTTTGCAGAATTCCATGAAGATGATACAAATGAAACAATAAAGGAAGCAGAAACTAATGAAAGTGACAGTTAAGAAAATGATTAAAGTCATATATAGCAAATTTTTTCTAGTGACATTTTTCCCCCTGATTTTTTTCACAAAATGAGGGCTTTTTATATCTAGTTGAAATTCTTCTACACCCCTAGAATATGGCTTTATTTATATTACTACTTATTTCAGTTTTTATAAATATTTGTTTAGTACTGTTCTAGGTACTGGAGGTATAAAGATGAAAAATTGTAGTACCTGACCTTTAGGAAATAAAATTGGGCATTTCTGTCTATATTAATGGTTTCTTCATTCATTGGGTGTAGTATATGTCTGCTGCTAGGGAGACTGAAACTGGGAGATTGCTTGAATTTGGGAGTTTTGAGGTATGGTAGGGCTAAAGCTTAGTGGGTATTAAGTCCGGCACTAATATAATGAGTCCCCCCAGGAGCAGAGGTCCACCAGGCTGCCTAAGGATGAGTGAACTGGTCCATGTCAGAAAAAACAGATCAGGTTAAAACCTCTCTGCTGATCAATATTGGGATCAGACCTGTGAGAAGCCACTGTATTGCCAGCCTGAGTGAGATAAAAAGACCATACCTAAAAACAAACTTCTTTTTTATGTTTTCTTTTTTCCTCATACACTGTCTGAAACTGTGATAACAAATTCTAAACTTCTGCAGCTTAGCTACATTTGTAACAAGTTTTTTTTAATGACATTTTACAGTTCATTCAGTTAGTAAATTTATTTTCAGAAAAACAATATCTTAAGTTTCTTTATATCAAACATAATATTGCTATGAGCAAATCAATTTATACATTCTGAATTTTTATGACCTTGATCAAACAATTTCTTGGTATAAGGTTTTTTTATTTTTTTGAAAGGAAGGGAGGAAGAAGCATTGCATATATTTCAGGTCTTTGAATTAATCCTTTTTTTCCTCGGCTTCAGAATTTCAAAATTTTTACACTTTATCCTGGCCTTCAAGAAGCTTACAGTTTAGTAGAGGAAATAAAATTTAACATGAAAGAATGTGTGTGTATGTGTGTGTGTGTTTTCTAAAATGAATTGTAATAGACTGTAGTCCCATAATACTATAGAAGGAAGGGATTTCTTTGATAGTTGTCATGGTTAGGAGAGGGTTCATGGAAGAAGTGGAACTTGATTTAGGCCTTGAAGAATGGGTAGAATTTGTGTAGGAGGATGGGAGAAGAGAGGACATTACAGATATGGGGCTGGGGTGGCAGTGGGGGTGAGGGAAGCAGAACTAGATGAGCAAAGTCAGAGAAGCAGGAATAAGCATAGTATTTTTATTTTTTTTATTTTTTTGAGGCACAGTAATCAAGACCAGCCTAACTAGAGCAAAGTTTTAGGAAGCAGTGAGAAATGAATTTGGATAGGTATAAGGGAATCAGGTTTTGGAGGATTTTGAAAACTAGACAAAAGAGTTTAACTAGGTAGGAATTATGGAATCATTGCAAGATTTTTAGCAGGCTTATGATGATGAAAGTGATAGTTTAGGAAGATGAGTCTGGCAATAGTATGAAATATGGATTGAAGGAAGGAAGAACATGGAATCAGGAAGGATAGTGTGTTGCTGTCCAGTTAAATTACTTGGTGAAGTAATGTAGGTATTCTGTGTTAAACTTAAGTCTATCCTTCAAGTTTAAGAATATCTGCAAATTGTAGAGCTAGACTGACTATGTTAGACCAAATTCAGTCTTGAACTTTTTGATTTAATTTGAATAGAGTTTGTCTTCTTTTTTACTTTTAATTGAAGTGTCTAACAGTGACTTTAGGTACTTTATAATTTCTTACTACCTTCTACCATATCATGTAATCTAAAATTCATGTTTTGTTAAAAATAATTTTCAGTTTCATTCCCAGTTCCAGTTCTGATAAATACAATGTCTCCCCTATATTAGAGCTCAGTTTCCTTGTTAATAGAGCATTTAAAACACATCCAAGAATTAGTTTTTTTGCATGACAGTTAAAGACTTTGGGTTATTATTAATTGTGGATTGTATACTTCATTTCTCATGTAAAAGTGAAGCATTTTAACATTTCTGAAATGGCACAAAAATAATTATATATATATATATTTAAAAATAAAATTTGTCATAGGTAATGTATTATGCTGTATTTCATTTAAATAACTTTTAGGACTTTTTGTTCATAGTATATTCAACAGAACATAAGGGCAGACTGTTCCAATATTGACAAAATTCTTGAACCACCTGAAGGCCAAGATGAAGGTGTATGGAAGTATGAACATTTAAGGTAGGAAATTACTATTGGTGTTTTTATTTGCCTGACTTCTACTAAATGTGTTTCAGTAATACTGATTCAGTGTTATCTATAATACATAAGTACAATTTACTTGTGTAATTAGAAACTTAAAAAGCCAAATGGCAAAGGTTTTGTGCCTTTTAGTACTATAATCTTCTCACCTTTGGCATTTATTTACTCTGTCAGTATTGTTCAGAACAAGTAAGGCAACTGGAACTTGGCTTCAGAGAGAGTTAATAGATTGTTTGCTCGAGGACCTGATCTTACACACTACTAAATTTTTGGACTTGACACTTATCTTTCTTTATACATTGTTTCAGTTATTATTATACTCCATGAGGATATTCTACTTTTCTCATCCTTTTTTTTCTTCTTTTTAAGTATCTATTAACTTTTTAATAGTGTGCCCTTGCCATTTTTAATTAGCCTTTGACTGTGGACAATGAAAGACTTTATAGACCTATAAACCCAAGTTTGGATAGAATTTTGGCATAAGGATTTTATTCTCAAATCTGTTACAGTGTTCTTTGGATGAGGAGAATGACAGCTATTGAAACAATTGGGGGTGGCAGTATGATCATTTCTGTGTCATGAAGTTGCTTGGCTTAATCCTAGAATTACTGGTTTTTAAATTCAGGTTGGAGTTTGGGCTGGGTATTTTGGGTTAGGAGTTAAAATTAGAGAGTGGTGTGAGGCATTTTCTTTAAAATGGTCTTTCAGTTGACTCATGTTATGACTAGAGACTAATATGACCTCCCCTTAGCAAAATAGATGCTATCTTTGCCCATAATGAGTTTAACATAGACAAAACACCCTGTTTCTTGTTGCTATCACTCAATTATTTAGGGTAAGATTTTTTTTTCTTGACTTCAAAATACTGACATTTCAGCAGACTAAGACATTTCAGTATTCTGTGCCTGGTTTTCTTAGTTAAGTTATGTTACTGCGCATTTCCTCAGTAAAATGACCCTACCTTAATCTTCAGAGTTATTGAAAAATATAGGTTTAGTCAGTCACTGTCACTGTCGTGATCCTTAATTAAATTTTGCTGTACTCCTTAATTAAATTTCAGTCAACTTCTAACTGATCCACATAGTTGTAGCACAATGGTAAATCAATATCAAAAAAGGCTATTTTACTTATTTAATCGCCAGTGTTCTTAAGAAAAAAGGAAGCCATCTTTTGTTTGTAGGATTCTTTTTTTTAGGTCTAATAGAACTCTAGATTTTTTTTTTTTTTGCTTTATTAAGGAATTCTCATCAATGGTCTGTTAGCCAAGTGCTATTATTCTTTTGTTACCCTTTTTAAAAACATTACTAAATAATATTTTTTCAATGTTCTGTACAGAGAATGTCTCTTTAGTGTGCCTTAAGAGAAAAGTTTCAGGGGTGGTAGCTTTTTGTTTGAATTTGGTGCATTGAGACATTGTTGATAGTTGTTAGACAATGTTGTTTTTACATGGTATTGATGAAGTTTAAGTTACAAGTTCTATTCTAGTAAAGACCAGTTGAATTCACTATATTCCTTAGTCATAGATTGCAACTCATACTTTATTTAGTCTTCACTATTTGGCCATAAGGGGAATTAGGTGAGAGACTGGCTGTTTGATAGAACCCATGACCACTAGTGGAAATACAATTCAAAGCAAATAATACAAATAGAATATTAGATATGTGCCTTTTAAAAAAATACCAAGAATAGTGCTATCATTATTATTATTATTATTATGAATCTGGAAAGGAAATAGGGTTAAGATCAATTGAATATTTGATCCTTTCTTTTCCTTTATATTCTTGGGTTGACCAATATTATCACTATGGTAGTATTCCTAACCTAAAGTAAATTAAGATACTTCTTGCTGCTGTTTATTTATTGACATTGTTCTTACATGATATTAATGAGATTTAGGTGATTTTTTTTAAAGCTATGTTGCATTTTTCTTTTAGGGTTTCTCTTTTACTTTCCATAATACTAAGATTACATTTCCAGGGAACTGAAGCCTTTTTAAAAAAAAAAAAAAGTTGGGGCAGCTAGGTGGTGCAGTGGATAGAGTACTGGCCCTGGAGTCAGGAGGACCAGAGTTCAAATCCAGCCTCAGAACAAAAACTTGACTCTTACTAGCTTTGTGACCCTGGGCAAGTCAGTTAACCCCAGTTGCCTAAAAAAAAAAGAAAAAAGTTTATGATGGCAATGTAGACATATTTTTTGAGGCAGTGAACTAAAACTAAATAGCTGTTTTTTTTTTCTTCTGGGAATAATCAGTTTTTTGGCAGCTGAAAAGAGGATGTCTTTGTGGCTTATTATTACTTAAATAACAATTCTTTAGCCACCAATGCATATAGAAAATAATACTCTGATTGTCTTAGTGAATTTTCTTTTATGATAGTTCATAGATCATAAGTTTAGAATGGGAAGGAATATTCAAGATCATGGCTTTATCAGGTTTAAGAAGGACTGTAATTGTTATTTTCAGCTGAGTTTTAAACTCTGGCTAAATAGGTAAAAGGAAATATTTTAAATCTTAGTAGAGTATATAGAAATTTATTTACTTCTTTCTACCTTATTTTCAACTTTTGTAATATGGGGATTATATATACCTGCTTACAGTTAAGAATAAATGAGATATGTGAAGCACTTTGAATTCCTTGGAAGAAATGTGCTGTTTGAACTGTAGTGCTGTAGTGGTGGTGATTGTGTTATTTTGTTGTTAAAAGTATAATGTTAAATTAAACATTGTCTTTGGAAAATAAGAGATTAGTATTTTCATTTATATATTTGCATTTTCAGGCAGTTCTGCCTAGAGCTAAATGGACTTGCTGTCAAACTTCAGGTAATTTTTTGTTTAAAAATTTTTTGGGTTTTATGTTTCAACTGTAATCTTTCTGAAAGTGTTTATACTTTTTTCTCTGTATTTTTGTAACCTACTGCATTTACAGAGGGTTGTTCACAATTTTAAATTGCTTTCTCTTGGAATCTTACATAGACTTTGAGTATTGTGCCTTTTTATTATATTTATATGTTGAGACTAAGTACAAATATTTTAACAGAGTGAATGCCATCCAGATACTTGTACTCAGATGACAGCAACTGAACAATGGATTTTTCTTTGTGCAGCTCATAAAACTCCAAAAGAGGTGAGAGTTTATTTTGAAAGAATTAGAATGATTGGGTATAGCTTTATAATATAGTTTCTTTACTTAAATAGATGGGCAGTGAAGTTATATAAATAGTAAGAAGTTGGACACATCTTTAAATGTAACTGCTTACACTGAATTTAACAAATATTTATTAAGCACTTAAGAGGTTTGAGACACAGGGTTAGTACTAGGAATACAAAAACAAAAATTATAGTCTTTGCTCTCAAATTATAGCCTGAGCCCTCCTCAAGGAGTTTATGTTCTGCTGATACTTGGAGCTGTGGATCTTTCATCTACCAAGACTATCAGTTTTTTGTTGACTTCTTTTTAATTGTCATTTGAACCATAATAAATGGTCTAGAGTTGTCGTCAATAAGATTTATAGATGTAGTAAGTGATAGTTCTGTTTTTTACTGTAGTAATCTAAATAATCTTACAGAATCTACTAAAAAAAAGTGACATGATAGATGACCTGCAACTCATGAGATCTTCCTTTTGTAAGAATAGAGTGATTACTATTTGATACTTTGCATACTTATTCTCTTGAGTTTTGTAGTATCATGAGATAGTGATTTTTTTTGCATGTAGCATTGCTAGTACATACATTGAAATCTACTGGATCACTACTGGATTTTGCAATGAAGAATCTTCAGAATCTTCATCCTTATTTGTAGGCACTGATAATTATTCATTGCATCTTTTTTGACAGACTTTGAGGGGTAAAGTTAGAGTTGTCAGTCAGTCAGTAATGCTGTTTGTCAACTTTAAGAACCCTAAAGCAAGGGACTACCTTGTTTTACATCTATAGTGTTTGTTTCAAAGAGGGAAAATATTCTCTAAAATACGGTGTTTGAAGCACTTATTTTATTGAATACTTCTTATTAGGAAGACTAATTTCTTTCATAATGTTGACGTCACATCCTTTGGACTGATGACAAACCTAAAGAAAACAGAGATCAAGTAACTAGTCCATATCTAGATAAACCTACACACAGCAGATATTTTCATTGGTAGTACAGAACTGAAAGCTTTCACTTATTTTTCCACTTATTCATTCTAGTAGACAGTGATTGACAAAAAAATTAGAAACAAAATCAAGAGGGTTAGTATGTCCATTGGTAGCTAGAAAAGACAAGACAGTTCAGAGCCAGTTTAACTTTCACAGTAGATTAAGGGTCTTCAGAATGGATGTATTTCAACTTGTTGGATATCCTAGAGGTGTCATGGCTGACTTCTTTAATATTTTCATAGCTTAATGTTACCTGGTAAGATGAGATCACTACTAAAGAGGTCCTGTAAACAACTAATCAGTCAGTATTGGAACTCTACTTGCTGCCCTTCTGAATTGAAATGTTTGGAGAACAGGTGAAAGCAAGAGTTCTCTACAGTTACTGTGTGGTAAAGGGTCATTTTAAACAGTATGTGAAGAGGCATTTGAAGGATAGGTAGAAGAGTATCATCATATGTGTGGAGTAGCTGTGGATAGGGTCTCCTAGTGAAGAACAGTGGTAGAAAAAGCCAGAGCCATGTGGGTAACTTAACTGTTCTGAAGCAAAGGCATTAATTAGGTTCTGAGATGGTGAGCCAGAGGGACAAATGGTACTGGATTTGCAAACAGTGAGTTCATTGCCAAAGGACAGTTTGTGTGTTGTGGAAAAGAATGCTAGTTTTATGAGTTCAGTCATATTCATGCTTACACATCATTATTGCATCAATTTTAACTGTGAAGGATGACGGTATATTTAGAAAAACGTGTATTATTTGAATAAACAGTGGGTATGATACTTTACTAGGTATATAGAAGCTTGTGGATTTTTGAAGAAATTAATATTCCTTTGTGTGTGAATATGCACACAAAGATAGCTGCTTACCATGGTGCCATACTTAAGCAGCATTTAAACAGCTGGTGGTTTCCAAATAGCCATTTTAAAAGCACATTGTGTTCTTAAAAATACTATCTCCACTGGTTAGAACCACAATTATAGTTGCTGTTTCTTTTACCCTAGTTTCAGTCTTTTCCTTACAATTTGCATACTTGGATCTCTGCTTGGCTTTCCTTCCCTCACCTTCCTTACTCTTTGTTTATTGCTATTTGCCCTCTAGGAGACTGGAGAACCCTGGGGGCATAGATCTGAGCTGCAAGGGAACTCAGAAACCTTCTAGTCCAACTCCCTTATATGAGGAAACTGAGGCCCAGAGATGTTAAGTGACTCACTTAAGTAGGAAGGCTACTGAGATTCGAACTTAGTTCCACACTTTCTTTCCTTCACCATGCTACCTCATTCTGTCTCAAAAGTTTTATTGGTAGTAGCAAAACTATGACAGGATAGGTTTCATTGTTCTTAATGTGATGTGTACTAAACAGAAGGGCTTCTTAGGTTGTAATATAAAGAATCTCCAGTGCCAGCCATAACCCATTAAAATCCAATAATGGCCAGTAGGGTGGGACAGGAAGTAGAATTCAATTGATGGTGTCTAGGGGTTGGGGTTCCAGGGACATATTAGGGAATATCTATAGGATATGAGAGTAAAGTGACAGAGATGGGGAAAGTATATTTAGTTAGGAGAGAGATGCCCCAGGCAGTGTGATAGACTGAAAAGATCATTGGACTTGGAGTTAGGAGATCTGAATTCTTACTCTGGTGTATCTACTTTGTGATCTTGGCTAAGTCACTTCATATCTCTGGGCCTTCTTTCTCATCAGTGAAATGAAGAGATTGGTTAAGATGTTCTCTTAAGATTCCTTTCCTCTTTAAAATTCTTTAAGAACTAGTCTTGAGGACTAGATTGAGGTAGGAAAGTAGGGGTGGGGAGGAACAAGGAAGGAGAATTTATATGTGTTGGAGAATTCTAACATTAGCATATTAAAATTTTGTTTACTAAAATAACAGTTCATTTGCATATTCCAATCTGATTCTGTCGCCAAGAATTCAACAGATTTTTATAATGTACCCACTATTTGCTAGGCACTGTTTCTATCTCAATTATTGGAGACTTTTCATTTGCATACGCTCTGTTCTTTGGAATGGAAAAGGCCTTTGGTGCTTACCATATAGATTTATACAATACTAGAGGTAAATATATTTGGTGATGCAGTTTTATACTTTTTCTTTTGTAGTGTCCTGCTATAGACTACACTAGGCACACGCTTGATGGTGCTGCATGTCTTCTGAATAGCAATAAATATTTCCCTAGCAGGTAAAACTCTTAAATATGGGGCTCTCTTCTTTGTTATTTCAAAAAGCTTGATAACATTTTAATGAGTTTCAGGTTGTTAATACAGTGCATTTTTTACTGCATTATATTTCTAGTATAACGTGTTTCATGTTATTCAGGTTTTGAGAGTCAATCATATGTTTAAACCAAAATAGAAGTGGTGTTGGCAACATATGATTGACATCCAGACTAATTTTCAGTAGCATATCTCTGCCACTATACCCCATGTTAGCTGTTTTTGAGGCCATTCCAGAAGAAGAGGGGTTGATTATCTTGAGATACCATTTTGGTTGCTGACTCTGCATTTTAAATCTTGACTATATACCTGTAGAATTGTCAAATGTGAGAAGTTCCATTTCTGGTTCTGAGTGTAAAAACATCATTAAATATTATAATAACGGGGCAGCTAGGTGGCGCAGTAGATAGAACACCCGCCCTGAACTCAGGAGGACCTGAGTTCAAATCCGACCTCAGACCAAACACTTGACACTTAACTAGCTGTGTGACCCTGGGCAAGTCACTTAACCCCAATTACCTAAATAGAAAAAAAAAATGTTTAAAAAAAAATTACAATAAGAATGAAGAATTTGAGAGAAAATATGTTCTATTTTATAACAGCAAGCCTTTATTGTATTTGTTTTCAATTGGGTGGTTTTAGTAATGGTTTTTAAAGTATAATATAATTATTCATAAGGAGTTAATATAAAATACATAAAACCAACAATCTGGAAATTAATGAAAAAGATACATTCTTTACCTTTATATCTGAAATAAAAGGGTAGTTCAGATTTATGGTGCCTATTTTTAAAAAGTCATGAAAATGTGTTTTTTTCCTTTAAAGAAAAAAAGAAGAAACTAATACCTTTTCATTGTTATGAATTACTGAAAAAGTGGACAAAGTGTTAAAATCCTAAATGGAGTTCAAAATTTTTAATTTCATTTATATTAATTGTGTTAATATCTTAAAACTTTTAATAATATAAGACTGAATTCTGAGTAGTAGTAATTAACTGAATGAAAGAAAAAGGTAACTGGATTGACAAATGAAGAGAAATGGCTTCTAATCCTGATTATTATGAATTAGATTTGTGATTTGAAGCATATTACTTTACCTCTCTGGATCCTGCCTGTTTTCTTTTGTAAAATGAGGGGACTGAGGGTGACCCTGGACAATTCATGTAACCTCTCAGGGCTCTAGGCATCTCTCTCTCTCTCTCTCTCTTTTTTTTTTTTGGTAAGGCAGTTGGAGTTAAGTGACTTGCCCAGGATCACACAGTTAGTGTTATGTGTCTGAGGCCGGATTTGAATTCAGGTCCTCCTGATTCCAGGATCGATGCTCTGTCCACTGGGCCACCTAACTGTCCCTCTAGACATCTCTTGAGGGCTTTATGTAGCAGATCTGTTGCTGGTCTGTTTTCCTAACCTCATTTTCATTATCAAAAGCTCCCTAACAATTATGAAATCATAGATCTGGACCATGGATTCTAGTCATAGGGGTTGGGAAATATGGAGTATCTTATGCATAAAGGAACATTAGGGAAATTTTGGAATAAAAGTAATCCGATTTAAGAATAAAACCTATTATGGTGAACATTTGCTGTGTGTTCAATAGAAAAATTTCATATGTAACATATTTTGAGAGTATAATAGTATTAACATCAATATTTCCTCACAGAACCCTTATTTATGTCATATGAGACACTAGAGTTCTGTGGAATAAAGTTTGGGAAGTGCTAGGCAGATGTACTTTCTGGTCCATTCCAGCTCTGTGACTTCATGATTTCTGTTTTCTCTATTTTTGTAGAGTTAGCATAAAGGAGTCATCTGTAGCCAAACTAGGATCAGTATGCCGTAGGATTTACAGAATATTTTCACATGCTTATTTTCATCATCGGCAAATATTTGACGAATATGAAGTAAGTATATTACTCTGTGTTGCTGATGGCTACTTAATCAATGGTGATAGTTTTGTGGTGGTGGTGGTATACATTTCTGTTGGTTTTGTTTTTGGATTACAAATTAAAATTTTTTTTCTCCATCCCACAGAATGAAACATTTTTGTGTCACCGATTTACTAAATTTGTGATGAAATATAATTTGATGTCTAAGGATAACCTGATTGTACCAATTTTGGAAGAGGAAGTGCAGAATTCAGTGTCTGGGGAAAGTGAAGCATGATGGGAATCATACATAAAAATGTACTGAACACATAATTAACATTAATTATGTACTGTATATATCATTTTAGACACTTCAATCATGTATCCATATTATGGCTTCTTTGTTTAGTATAGTTTTGTATGCTGTGTGTTGCCTTTTAAAATGGGAAAGACTTTTAAGTTATTCATGAGCTGTATATTCACCAGTGTGGCACTCATGGTTTTTAAAATAAGATTAGTATTATCTGTTTATAATGCCTGTTAATAAAAAGAATTTACAATTCTGTAAAATTGCTGCTAAACAATCGTTGAATCACAATCCTCATCAAACAAATCTATCAAAAAAAAGATGAGTGAGCTTTAGGTTTCACATAAACCATTACTAATGAAATTGCAATATTTCCCCTTAGATTTGTGTCCTAAATTTAGAATATTCTAGGAAATTCCACATAACACAGTGCAGACTACACTGTAGCTCTTTTTTTAAAAGCAGTTTCCATGGTCTCCTTATGAATTTTGGCACACATCTATGAAGATTATGTGTATATCCAAATGTAAAAGCAAGTGCAGTGTTATTAATGCTAAAATATTAATCTTATTCTACTACACAAAGTATATTCTGGGCCAGCATACTTGAAAGCTCTATGTTTTTCTGGATTTACCTTTCTGTAATAGTGGACTATAAGAAGTTTTGCATACATCATGGTAATGATGCTAAGGCAAATAAATGCTTCTCCCAGTGAAACCCCTTTCTTTCCTACCTCTTTCCCTCAATCCCCTCACCAAAAAAAAACAACAGAACAACTCTGGCCAGGCTACCATGAGTTATTAGTATAAAGGCTTATGCTTATATATATCTGTATTAATTGCCTACAGATTATACCTCATACTAACATTCATATTACACTACAGGAAAAATATACTGGCATAGTTTTTCATTTCTTTTGTTGGTGGAATTATTCTAATGAAATATTTGGAAAACTTAGTCTTTAAATTAGTTTGGATATTTCTATTAGTAATATTAATCTCTTTGTTCATCTAGATGATATTTAGATAGAGATAGAAAAATAATATTGCATTCTCCTCCCCCTTCCAAAAAAAAGCTTTTATTTGAATTGTGTGTGCATGTGAGATTATTTGCAATAATTCACAAGATCCATGAGTGCTACAGAGTGTTGCACTGGTTGGACCTCTTTAAAATGAAATGTCTTAAGGATAGAACTTCAGATCTGATAATATGAGTGATGTAACTGAATGCAGTCTTTTAAAAAGCACTTGCCTTTTTATCGTATTGTATAGAGGTTTTAAAATATAAGGCTTAAGAGAGTGTACAAACAGTGAAGAAAATATCTAAAGACAGGCTTTTGGGCAGTTTTAAGTGCCCAGAAAAGAAAAATATTTTTTAATGTAGACATTAGGGTTGTTTGGAAATAAAAGCGAAATGCATTCATTTTTGTATCACCATTTCTTCCCAACTTTAGGCTAAACTTTATATGATATTGTTATAAAATGTACAATGAGGAAATGTGGGATAGTATAAGGTATAGAGAGTGTTTATGTAGAGATTTTTCCTTTTAAAATCTGCCTTTTGTTCAGATGTACTTGACTGACAGTAGTATGTTCTAGTAGTCATTTTTCTATGAAAATATTTTGCTCCACCTGTAGTTCTATCTTTAAGGATATCTTATTATATATGTGATAAAAAGAATATTCTCTTTGAAATTTTACATTTGTTTTAGTCTCACAAACCAACTGAAGTAGTAAAGTAGCTAAATTTGGGGGGAAGAAGTGCACTTCTAGTTAATAAATGTAGTGTAGCTTAAGAGACATCCTAATGAATTTCTGTGGCTTGAGTCATCACTTGGTGACAGTTTTGAACTAAGGCAGTGGTGAAGAGAGATGACCTAATAACATGTTTACTTAATATTTTCAGTAGTATAGCTCACCGCACTGGGGAAATATCTAAGGCTTTTTTTCCATTTATTCCATCTCTCATATACTGTATGTTTGGAGTTGATCCTAAAAAAAAAAAACCAGGTCCAAACAAAATTCTGAAACAGTTTGTCTTGCTTTTTTTGTATTCATATTAACATCTCATTCATATGTGTTGTACTGTGAAGTTGATTTATTACACTATGTAACCTGAGTATAAAAGACCCAAGTGAAACAGCTCCTATTTTTTTTTCCTTGATGTTGTTTACTGGATTTATCTAAAACTGTATGTGTACTTATGAGGTAGTTACTACAAGAGTTTAATGAGCCTGGCAAACCATCGATTTGTATAGTAAGTGTTTTAAGAGGAAAATTTGTGAACTTAAGGCCCTATGTGATAGGGAAATTGGGTTCCACTTTGTCTTTGAATTATGTTGTAAAGGTAAAGAGGTTAAAATTAAATTTCTCACTTTCCATACTGGCATATTTGGCCATGTGGCTCACTCTTCTCTTTATCTTCTATCATGCCTGGGAAAGTAGATGACTTCTGATAACTCATGTTTCTACAAGTGATACATTCTAATTCTGTGCAATATTTCTCCTTCTTTCTTTTCTCTAGTTTAAGGTATTGATTTTACATGGCTAGTAAAGTTTGTCAGTGCTGTTCTGTGCGATTTACCTAAATTCTGTTGTTCAGTCATGTCTGACTCTTGGTGACCCCATTTGGGGTTTTCTTGGCAAGGATACTGAGGTGGTTTGCCATCTCCTCTAGCTCATTTTACAGATGAGGAACTGAGGCAAACAGGGTTAAATGACTTGCCCATGGTCACACAAATAAGTAAGTGTCTGAGGCTGGATTTGAACTCAGGTCTTCCTGATTCCATGCCTAGTGCTTTATCCTCTGAGCCACTTAATTGCTCCTAAATTCCGTGGAAATAAGATTAAATCTAATGGAACATTAATGGTAAGGGTTATTTTACCTTTGGTTAATTAATGTAAAAAAAAAGACAATATTGGCCTTACTGATGCTTTAACCCACACAAAAACAGTTATTCTTTCAATTTTTCTGTGTGCTTAGTTGATGAGAACTAAATGATAGTTACCTCTTTAAAAAAAAAGTCTAATTTTAAATTGACTTTATTGTTTTGCCTTTACCCCCAAATAGCTTCAAACCAGTAGGCATAATTGTAATTTAACATTTATTTGGTGGCTTTTTTTAACCATAATTTTGCAAATGATGGTCACTTAATTTGAGGTCTTTTGATTGATTGTGAATGGTCCATTGCAATAGAAGGGCCTGTTGGGGAGTATAGAGTTGTAAATGTTTTGTCTCTATGGTAAGAGTAGAGCTTGTTTACTTTTTGTCATGTTTTTGCTGGAAATGTCTATAAAATTTTAAGTATATAAATTCCAGCATTAGAAATACTCAGTTTTGCAACTGCTTATTTCTGCTGCAAGCTTTTTAGTTTATTTCTACCATGTAGTGTTAGCTTTATGTTAGAAATATTACTGTTGGCTTTCATTTTTAGCATGAATCTAATTGATAGGTAATCTGAGTTCAGCTCTATTGGTTGCAATACTGTTGACCAGTTCAGTGACTTTTCTGAAATATGTCAGTGAAAACATCAAATTAATTAACTCAATAGTCAGATCAATCAGTGTCCTGCTTATAGTGTAAATTTCCAGTGCTACCAAGTTATCCACTAGGGGGTACTCACTCCACAAAGTGGAAAGTCATCTTTACCATTTAGAGAGGGGCTTTTTCTGTACTTGGAACTATGCATCTTCCTGCAGTACTTTATTTAAGTGTCTGCTGTTGTTTTTATTTCTCCTCTTGTTATGCATAATGTTTTGTATCAAGTGCAAGAACAAATAATGGAGTTGAGTGAACAGAAGATTAAATTTTCATAAGTATTCTGAATTCACAAAAGATGAGTGCATGTGTTAATAATATTAACACTATAATCTAAATTTCTGACTGGCTCCAAGATTTATGAAAAATGTCCATATTCAAAACCATTTGTTTTTTAAAATGTAACATTTAAAAGAGTTTTTTCTTTTTCTAGATTTCTCTTACAAAGAGAATGTTATGGTATTCCCACAAGTAATATTTTCCTATAGTTGCTGCTTTTCCCCCTAAGGACAAAGGTCATATAAGCAATTTACTATAACTCATATAACTTTTGAAATCTTATTTTCTTAAGTTGGAGTTGTGTTGTAATGAGGGATTTTTTGGGCCTAGTTTGTGGCTATTGGGTAAGATAATAATGGGACTTTTAAAATGGCAATGACTTATAGGAATATTTATTACCCTTCATTTACTGATTTAAAGGATTCTTCCTGTGTTTCTTTTGTTTTATTGTTTAATAGGAATTATGAGAATCTCTAAGGAAGGAAATTCACTCACTTTTTGCTTGGGTTTAAATGGCAGGTAATAGGTTTTTTTGGATTTTGAGGATAAAATACTATTTTTACCTCCCTTATCCCTATTAATCTACCTTTTAAAATTTGAAGTCATTATTTTCATTTGTGTTTAAAAAATTTAGCCTTCCTTTGATTTTGAAAGATATACTTGACTATTCTTGGATTTGGTAATTTTTGGGGTGGGGTAATAAAACCAATTTGTAGATCACATCTTTATAGAAACACATGAAAATTATAATAATGGATGCACGTTGTGCCTGATGTCTTGTAGGTGTTGAGCTGGGAATCACACCTATCCAAGTCCTAAGGAATTAGCATTAGCCCCATGCTGGTGCTGATTTTATGAGCCATGGGAGCATCCTAGAGGCTAAACTGCTGCTGCCATCTTTTTCACCTTTTTCCTAGTTGCTGCTTTGACACAGGGATTGCCCCTACTGCCTTTCTTCTTGTCAAACCTAAATCCTTCCTGTTCCAGTTAATAAAATGTCATTTCATTGGTGTAAGGAACTCCCATTGAGGAGACTGCCTCTGTTGTACTGGTGCAGATGATTAATTGCTCTGCAGCTTATAGTCTTAGTAGGTCTCTGGTGCATAGGAGGTAAAGTAATTTTCTCAGAGTCACATAGAGGCAGGACTTGAACTCAGGTCTCTGTATTTCTAGCCACTGCATCACCCTGCCTCTTTTCATTCTATTACTGGTGCAGATCAAGAGCAGTTAATTACCTTGCTTTACATGGGTACCATTAATTCATATATTTGAACATCATTATTAAATCACCCCTTCTTCCCACCCCCACTGAATAATCCTACAGTCTTCAAATTCTGTCCATAGTTCTCTTTTGCCAAATACTTGATAATCTTCGTATCTCTCAAAAGATTCTCCATGTTCTTGCCTGTGGATCCTTGAAATGGACACTGCTATGGGAAGTGCTAGCCACTGCTGACACCAGCATTGCTTTTATTTTCTTACAAATTATGCCCCTACTTATACCTCCCCATATCTTGCATGTGGTTTCCTAAGTTTCATACAGGTGACAGATTAAAACATTAAACATAAGCCCTTGGTTTCCTCAGCTATAAAATGAGCAAGTTAAACTAGATTTCATATGTCAAAGGATTTGGAGTTGGAGGGGAGTCAGAGATTTTCACAATTTTATAGATGAGGAAATTGAGACCCAGAGTGTAACATTAGGTAGTAATATGTGTAAAGTAACAGGTAAGAAACAGAGCCAGTATTCTAACTCAGGTCTTTTGACTCCAAATGCAGTATTGTCCTATACTATTGCCCCCTTAGTTCCCTTCTGACTTTAACAATGTGATTCTATGACTTCTCTCTCCAAGGCAGCATGTTTTAAATTACAGCAGGTTAACACTAATTCACAGATAGTCTTTTTCTGGACATAATCTAGCCAACTGGTGCATTCAATGAACATCAGAGGAAGATGGGGCAGAAGTTAGCATCATACTAGCATGTTGAAAGTAACAGCAATAAGAACTTGTCTCTTAAGGATTATTTAGAGGATGCTGGGAGTGTTAAAAGATTCCAGCCATTTCCTGGAGTATAAAAAAGTCTGGTGACACAGTAGTGTGAGCTTGAGGCTAACTCCTTGTGTCCCCAGCTGATTGCTATTTCCCACCAGCTGGTTTGCCGATAATAGCTTCCAAATGTAATCAGTACTTAACATCGTTTCATTAGCTAATGACACACACCAGTACATGTTTGTGTGCATTAGATAGAGTCAGCAGATAAGTAGTACTGTAAGGTTTACAAAACACTTCTCAAACTACCCTATAAGGCTGGTAAACTAGATGAAGGTGTTCCTATTTAATGGGGAAACTAAGGCTTAGGAAAGTGGTTTACCCTAGCTCCTACAGACAGTACATGAGAGAGCAGGGGTTCAGACTAAAGTCTTTTGACTCCCAAGTTTAGTATCCTTTCTGTCATAAGCTTTTTTTAAAAGTTTTGAACTTAATCATTAACAAACACGAAGAACAACAAAAAAAAAGCATTATATATTAAACCATGGACTGTTGTTACAGTTGTTTTTTCCTTTCGAGGCAGTTGGCGTTAAGTGACTTCCCTAGGGCCACACAGCTAATAAACGTCAAGTGTCTATTCTGAGACTGATTTTGAACTCAGGTCCTCCTGAATCCAGGGCCAGTGCTCTATCCAGTGCACCACCTACCTGCCCCTATCTTGTTACAGTTTTTAAAAGTGTATATTAAGTTTAACAGGATAGTAATAAAATTGTCTGGTTATATTCTCCTTTTGACTTTTTTTGTTTTTTTGCTTGTTTTAATTGACCATGTTTGGAAATCCCTGTCTTTTTTTGCACCTTTGCCAAGAGGTGGAAGGCAGGCTTTATCAGTCTTCCGAAGTCATGATTGGTTGGTCATTGCACTGATCAGAATTCTGAAATCTTTTAAGTCCAGTGTTCTTTCCACTGAATTATACTGCCTCCCTTATATGTTAGAGCTGGAAGTTACCTTAAAAGATTATCTTTTTTTTTTTAATAAAAGCTCACATTTAACAGCTTACAATGTATTTTTCTAAATACATGCAAATAAGTTTAGTGCCCTTTATATTCATTGCACTCTTTAAAGCATATTGGGCATGCTTATGGACATAAGGGGGATAGCGTTACATAATTCAGAGATCTTATTTTATAAAAAGCTCAATTTAATTCTGTTTTAGCCATGAATATGTGTAAATGCAATAATGCCATTTCACATTGGATGGCCAAACTTCCTTTTTTATTAAAAAAAAAGTTCTCGTATTCTGGTATATTTTGATTTTATAGTTTAGGTTTTGGCTTAAGTAAATCAGGCAAGTTCTAACAAGTCATTGGTTTAGATAAAGGGCTGCTGCCACAGCAAAGCTCCCATGGCAGAACTTCCCAATTCAGAATGGGGAAGAGAGCTGAAAGAATGCTCATAGGGCTTTGAAAAAAAAAATGTTCATTTGAAGTAGCCCTAGTCTTGGGAAAGGAATGAACTCCTGATGTTGATTTGTCTTGACTTTCTCAGATTACTCATAGAGAAACATTTCTGTCAGTTAGG